TATTGGGGCTGATGTTTACTATAGTCATTGCTGACACCCAGGAGTAGTTGAGTTTAAGCACATCGGTGTTCTTCTTAGGGGGGACTGTATAGGCTCAGCCCAGACATTCCCCCTCTCCAATTTAGGACCTCCAGGGGCTCTAAAAGAGTGGTCACATGGCCTGAATAGGTGTCCACAGTGCTGCCAGCAGGGGGACTGCATGAACTGACAGGCAGCCCCCCTGCTGGTGGAAAAAGTAAAAAAAAAAAAGTAATAAATAAAGTTAATACATTAAAAAAAAAATTATATATATATATATGTATTAAGGCAATTTGCCTGCATTTGTGGGAGGTGCTGGTTTTCCACCCTCAGCTACTAAGGCATTCTGCTCGGCTCTCATCGCTCGAGGTCAGCGCTGAATGAGGATCCACTTCCGGTTCTCTCAGACGCCTACATCTGGTTTCAGTATCCAGAGGTTTCTTACCACGTTAAGTTGTATGTCCAGGAATCCTGTTCGTGGCCTTTCCTTCATCCAGCTTCTCTGACCTCGCTTCTCCGTCAGATCAAAGGCCCCAGGGACTCCTAAAATGTCAGACCTTCCTGTCACGCTTCAGGACTGGTTCCCACGGCGTACGGTACAGCACGGGTCCTCGCTTTACGGCTTTTCCCTGGTTATGACAAGAATGTTTTCAAGCCATTCGCGGGCTTTTCATTTCGTACGGTCATTCGGCTGAACATGTTTTAAATCGTTCAATAGTCATTTCGCATATCCTATTCATGTTATTTAAACGAATGTTCATTCGGTTATTTTTGCCGTTCGGCAAATTTTACATACGCTCACACACGCTTTGGTTCGCATAAATCATACGGTTAAACTATTCTAACTTCTGTGTTCCCCTCACATTTTGCTTTCGGCAGTTCTGTGTGTTCACGTATAATCCTTTCATGAATTATATTCACCATTTCATGTGTATATAACATTCGGTTAAAGTATTGCTTGCTTAAATAGATTATTGTTGATTACTTTTAACAAATTGTCAGTATTATATTACGTCCACAAATCAAGTCCACTTCTCTGTGTATACCATTTGACTCCCACGCTTTCAGGGGTCTGCATTACTTATCCATTTATACGAATGGACTCAGCCATGTTACAAGCCTCATTTCTGGGTTATTAATACAACACATACAAGGATAGGTTCATTTAAGCAATAATTCTCGGGCTGATACGTCTTTGCTATACATACATATCATATAGATATACATCACTTTACATCATGTTAAATCATTTTGGGGTATCCCTGCCTTTGGTCTTTCTGCTACATATCATACATAACGCTGTGTTAATTAGGCCATGACCTCATCCATGTCCCTTTCTATAAAACCAGTTACATTTCGGTACAGATCATTGAACTCCCACGCCAGGAGTTTTATAACTATCCATTTCATTTCAATTTACTCAGCCTACATTACAGGCCTCATTTCTCTGTCATGACGATGACACATAAGGCTCACATCCTTTTGCATGCATACTCGGGTTGAATCACACGTACTGATCCAACCAATCATACGTCCCCTACACAGTCATATACATATGTATATAACCTACGTTTCATGTTTTCCTTTACACACCATTATCACGTAACACATAGATTGTTTGTACATAGGCCACGGCCTCCCTCAGATGTCTTATTCAAACATGCAAACATTTCTGAGCCACTCATAGCTATTCCCATGGTATCAACATAATTTTATACATTGCTGCTACAGACTATAAGTCTGGTTCTTTTTACACCCCACACTCATCGTACTACTCTCTTTTACCCATTTTTAGGCTGTCGAGCTTATATAATTGCTCCACACGGTTTATTCCTGTGATTTATCATACTACCAGGTACGTACACCTGCTCATATGGTATTCTACCATACATTTCATTTCATCCCCCTAGTTTAGAGTACTGGCAATAGGGTCACAGGATTCCCAATAGATATTTACCCCATCTTGGCTGTCGCCATTAGTTAGTGGTCCCGCGAGGCCAACACCCCGCCTCAAACGTTTCGGAGGCAAACACCCATCGGGCCACACGTTAGCTAGCCGCCTCGCATGTTGCAAAGAGAGGGCCTCACCTGTCACTCCCTTCCCCTGTTTTCTGTCGTACAGTCACCGAGAGGCCTAAAACTCCTGCCACTACGTCAAGTGGCCTCAATAACCCCTCGCGCCAACGCATAGATAGAGCCTCTCAAGCCGCTTGGCAATTAGTAGGGCCTCACCTGTCACCAAACAAGCATAATACTTTCGCCATCCGGCCTAGCTAGCCTGCCAGTACAATTTGGTGGTTCTATATACTAATTATTGTTTTATTTATAGTATGTCTCAGGAAGGGGTAGAGGATTTCTCCCTGCCTAGCACCCCGGCTAGAGCTGTCACTCCCACACAAGGAGGAGAGCTAGCTAGTCCAGCATCAATTAGATCCTGGACAATCCCGCGCATAACCACGGAATTAAGGAGACGACAAATCCCCTACCCCGCTACAGCAAGGAAGGCAGAACTTTTCAAACTGCTACGCACATCAACCAATAACATGGAAGCCGGGGAAGGATCTAGCCAGTCCAACCCAGGGGACATACATGCCATGTTATCCTCACTCATGGCATCCATGGGCAAGGTCAACTCCAGGCTGGAGAAACTTGAGTCGGTCACCACGGCCCTCACTCTAGCAGGGCCACCCGCGGCTGCGGTACAAACACCAGCCTTGCCATTAGTCGCTCCAGCCAGCACCCTGGATGACCAGGAAGTTAGCCCGGCCCACATGATACCTGAGCATATCAAAAGGGATATCCTGGAAGGTAAAGACGTCAACCTGGCTTCCCTGTTGATTGCCTCCCAGGACATTGTGGAACATAAGACGTATGCTTATGATGATGTTTCTGTTATTGTCAGATCTAGGGATGCCCGCCTGAACAGGAAACTGACTATCCCTGAATTTGTACTAGCGTTTGGTATTTACAGGGATGTCATCTGTGCGGTTTATCCCAACAGAAGAGAGGAGTTTGATCTCTATATGCACAAGCTGGTAGACCTGGGCAACAAATATGGTGGTTCAGCATTCTATGACTACCATAGGTCTTTTTCTGCAAAAGTGGCTGGAGCCTTCTCCCAGTACGGTACACGATCCAACTGGGGAAGGATTGATACCGTCTTATTCTGCAGACACTTTGCAGGTCTAAGAACACCAGCTTGTGCATACTGCTCCTCCACAGCCCATACTACTAATTTTTGTCCCAACACGGCAGACGGACATGCCTCCACACAAGGAACTAGTTCCTCTGGGGATCCAGGGAAACTATCCAAAGACAAATTGGGACGCCCAATCAAGTTTCTGGGCAAGTCCCAGATATGTAATAATTTCAATGTTGGGTCTTGTAATTACAGTGGATGTAGACTATTGCATGTCTGTTCAAAATGTTTTAGGGCACATGCTAAGACCATGTGTCCAAATAAAATGTATTCTAAGCCTTACCTTACGTCCATTAATATGCCAGTATTCACAGCATTGATGTCTCAGCACCCATCTAGACACCTGGTAGATTTTCTTATTTCTGGTTTAACAGAAGGCTTCCACACAGGTATCCTACACATACCAGCTGGCACTCTGGAATGCCCAAACCTACAATCCGCCCAACACAACCCCACAGTGGTTGACACCCTCATAAACCAAGAAGTGGAGGAGGGCTTTGTATTGGGGCCTTTTAGAACTCCCCCATTCACAGAATGGCGCACCAACCCTATTGGTATTGTCACAGGGAAATCTTCCCAAAAACAGAGACTCATCATTGACTTATCGGCTCCCCACTCATCGGCCAACCCCAGTCTTAATTCCCTCATACCCTCTGAGGAATTCTCTCTCCAATACACCACCATAGATCATGCCATTACAGCCATCATACAAGCAGGGGTGGGAGCCTGGCTCAGTAAGACCGACATTACTAACGCCTTCAAATTACTCCCTATCCACCCCACACTGTGGCACCTGCATGGCATCAAGTGGTCCGAGAACTACTATTTTTTCTCCCGGTTAACTTTTGGGTCCAAAAGTAGCCCAGCTATTTTCGACACATTTGCCGAAGCATTATGCTGGTTACTATTGAACATAGCCGGATGCCCTACAGTATTACATTACTTGGACGATTTCCTACTGGTCGAGGAGAATACTGCACCTCCCAATAGCCTCAAAGCTACCACTAAGCTGTTTGAGCAACTAGGTGTACCCATCTCCCCAAAGAAAACAGAAGGGCCAGACACGGTTATCACTTTTCTGGGTATCCAGTTAGACTCTGCCACAATGCAAGCAAGCCTACCTTACGAGAAGATAGACAATATTCTCACTTACATAAACAACTACCTACAGCTCGGCACTTGCAACCGCAAAGAACTACAGTCCCTGCTGGGGTCACTAAATTTTGCAATGCGCATCATACCTCAAGGCCGCTCCTTTATTTCACGACTATTGCATCTTTTTCCACTTTTTCTACATGACACGCACAGGTTGTCCTTAGATGCCCAAGCTACGGCAGATCTAAACATGTGGAAGAGGTTTTAACCACTTGGAATGGTAAAAGTATGTTCCTCCCTCAATTGACTGAATCATCTCCTACCATTTGGTCAGATGCGGCATCTACCACTGGTTTTGCAGCAATTTTTGGGAACGAATGGCTTTGGGGCAGCTGGCCTTCAGCAGTTCTGGATTTGGAAGGTTTTTCCACTACCTCAGCTCTTTTTGAGATCTACCCCATAGTGGCGGCTGCCGTAGCGTGGGGTCATTTATGGGCTAATACGCCAGTGCGTTGTTACTCAGACAACCAGGCGACCTGTCACATCATCAACAAAGGTCGTTCCAAATCTCTTACGATTATGAGATTTCTGAGGAAACTCACTTGGTTGGCAGCTTGTCATAATTTCTTCCTATGTTGTTTCCATGTGCCAGGTGTATACAACACAGCTGCTGACAGTTTGTCTCGCTTTAAATTTCAGGAGTTTCATCAAGCACTCCCGTCAGCAGCACCCACAGCCACCATCACTCCAACATTTCAACAACTCATACTGGACTAGACGTCATCATGCAGCATAGCAGGACATTGTCTCAGTTGGCACTTTCACACAATACAAACAAAACATACAACAGGGCTTTCACACTATTCAAACGATTCCTTCTGGAACATAACATCATACAACCGTTTGTTATGACATCTTTTTTGGGGTTTGCTTCCTTTTGCCACCTTAAACTCAAATTGTCATATAACACCATCAAACTCTATCTCACTGGCATTCAACACCACATGCTCATCTTACACCCAAATAACAACAGTTTCATGGCCTCTCACCAAATTAAGACCATACTCAGAGGTATTCAAAAATCAGAACCCACACATTTGGCCCAGAGGCTACCCATAGATAACCATATCTTCAAAGCTTTATCTAACCTACTCGACCTGAAACCATTTGACACTAATACGAATTCTATCATCAAAACAGCAATATACATCGCTTTCTATGGATTTCTACGACCCAGAGAATTCACTACGACCTCCACGACCCAAACCATTCCATTCCTCCTCTATTCCCACTTGACAAAACATATGGATCATTACATCCTGTCTTTACCTCACTCCAAAACCAGCCAGCACATACCTGTAAACATTCCGTACTACCCCACGCACAACAGATGGTGTCCCGTAAAAGTTCTTGATGCCTACATACAGCACCATCACTTACTGCCCTCGCAACCGTTATTACAACTACAAGGTGCAGTACTCACCACTACAACCTTCATGACCTACGTCAGGTCCTTGCTCACACAACTGGGCCTCAACGCAAACAATTACTCAGGACACTCCTTTCGTATAGGAGCCGCGTCCACAGCCTCCAGTTTCAACGTCCCAACTCATGTTATCAAAACACTGGGGCGCTGGAAGTCATCCGCTTACTCACGGTACATACCGAACCCAGTACAAGAGTTAAGAGATGCTTTCATAAACATGTCTGGTTGATAAATGTATATGTATTGGTTGTCTGTTAATAAATTGGATTACTTAATTTTTGCCCTCTTCTTTCTCAGGCCTACCTCATCGTCGGTTTCGGCACACCACAACCGACTTGCTCCTTTTATCATCCTACGCTTATTCATGGTATTTCACACTGTACTATCTTAAGCACCTAACACAAGTATTAAGGCAATTTGCCTGCATTTGTGGGAGGTGCTGGTTTTCCACCCCTAGCCTACTTAAGGCACTCCCCTTGCCTGGCTCCTTACCGTTCGAGGTCAGCGTTGAATGACCCTCCCACCACACCACTTTTAACATTTATTTTCCTTTCTATTTCTTTTCCTGGGTGGGCCCTCTTCTTTCTCAGGCCTACCTCATCGTCGGTTTCGGCACACCACAACCGACTTGCTCCTTTTATCATCCTACGCTTATTCATGGTATTTCACACTGTACTATCTTAAGCACCTAACACAAATATATATATATGTATATATGATATATATATATACATACATACATATGTTATATCTATATATAAAATATATATATATATATATATGTCTTATATATATATATATATATATATATATAATGTCATACTAATTGTATCTTTTTATTACTATATACATATATTGATATAAAAAATAGATATACACTTAGAATGAAATTATATATATATATCTATGTGTATCCCCTTAATGCCTTAATGACACCAGCAGTCCCCCTGCAGCAGCTCCGGCCACCCCAGCCCACCAGGGCCATGTTATCACCATGAGCACATCGCCACAAAAGGAGTCTAGCAGCTGCCAGCAGGGGGACTGTCTGAGCTGTCAGACAGTCCCCCAGGCTGCTAAAAAGTAAAAAAATACACACACACATAAACGTAATATATATATATATATATAAACAAAAATAAAAATCAAAATGCACTCACAGGTCTTCTGGTTAATAGGAAAACTGGTGCTTTAATAAATCATCTGTGATGTACAAAAAAATCAATCGACGTTTCGACCCTGCCGGGTCTTTTTCAAGATCATATAATACATGACAAGAAAGTGTTTATATATAAAATACAAATCTAAGTGAATAAACACTTACCCAATGGTGAAGTGAGGAGGAGTGTGTTTGCCCGTTAGAACCCGGAAGTGAATGGAAGCTGCACACAACGTCACGTGATCAGGGCGTCGTACAGGGAAAAAGTGGTTGCCAAGGCAACAATACACAAAGTAGAGAAATCCTATGCCGGGAGCAAGTAGATCAGTGTGAAGCAAGGAGTGGGTAGTGTAAACTACTAATACAAAGTGAATGATACAAAAGTCAGGAGAATCGAGTACATAAGCAGCAAGTGCTGTGCAGTGTCATGTGAAAACCTGAGTGATAAACGTGTGAGCACACAACAAACAAATATAATAAACTGTGAAAAACGAATACCTGACATCATAAATAAAATCAAAGCAAAAGAGCAGAGTATATACAAAAATACTGTATACAAAATTATACAATTATCTTATACATGATATCCACTAAAGTGTATAGTATGCAAAATTAGTAATATAATAATTTGATGCTAGACAATATGACATAAACACCAAGTGACACACGGGTTTTTTATAATGAAAAAACATCTAAACTAAATATATAGCCTAGAAACCTACGAAGGAGGCTGAGGAAACCTGAAGAATAAAGAATCAGCTGCATCTTAAGTAATCCAAAAAACATGACAACGGAGAAATAGATACAGAGACCAGAGCTAATGAAAAAGATCCTTAAATAAACAAAGCCAATAAATTGATCTAACGTGCTCTCACAAATGGGACTGTAGCTTATGATTTCTCCATACATATAAACCAAAAAAAAAAAAAAAATTATTGTCAATCTAATGCTAAAGAGAGCTACAAGTTAATCATAGAAGGGTGCTGGACAAGTCTCTAAATATAGATGGTCTAAAAATAATATCTAACTTGTAGTATCAAGACAATAGCACAATGAAAAATAATTGGCAAGTGCGAAAAATAAAAATTACAGTAAATAATAATAAAAGTAGAAATTCTTAGATAAATGGTATCTAACATGCAGTGTCAAGCTGATAGCATATGAGGACTCTCTACATACCAAGTGTTAAAATAGGATAAAGCACCAGCAGTAATCAATAGACAACAAATCTAATAGTCTAAGTCAAATGGAAATATTGCAAAAATGTGGAAAATATATGTAATAAACAATAATGTGGGTAGCGTATGATTGCTACCTACAAAAAAAAAAAAAGGTAGTTGCAGAATGGAACTGGTGCATACTGGAGTAGTAGGACAGAATATATCTGAACAACAACAAATAATTAACAAGGGCATAGAATACAAATAACTGGAAGTAATGAAAAATAATCATAAAAAAGATACATGAAATCTACAGGTATCTTAATGGAGAAAACAAAAAATAAAAAATAAAAAATAACTGACTAATGGAACTATCTGAAGCTATGCTGGTGACAAAAAATGTAAAGATGTATATAATAATGCAATAATAGGCATCACCACAGGGTAGATATACTATATATGGACATAAAATAAGAGTACACGAATAATCATAAGAACATGGAATAAATGATGTTTTCATTTAAACCTTTGGGTGTGATCGTGTCCAAGTGGTGGATCCAGTAAGCTTCTCTCTGTAGAAGCATTTTGGATCGGTCGCCACCCCGAACTAGAGGAGGTACATGATCAATGCCTATAAATTTGAGCGTAGGAAGGTGATGCTGCATAGCCAGAAAGTGTTTGGCTACTGGTTTCTCCGTGGTTTGGTCTCGATATGCCGTCATTATACCAGAGCGATGTCCCCTCATTCTGTCACGTAATGTGAGGTCTGTCTTCCCAACATACGATAGTCCGCATGGGCATGTCACCATGTAAATTACGTGATCCGTCGTGCAAGTGATGTAATGATTAATCGGTATCCTTTTACCCGTATGTGGGTGGGAAAAGGAGGTACTGGTCAGCATATGGCTACAAGTCACACAGCCCGTGCACTTAAAGCAGCCCTTCTTTTTGATCCATGTTTTCTTAGTATAGCATTGTGTAGGATCATTGCGAACTAGTAAGTCTCTCAGATTGCGGTTTCTTTTGTAGCTGATCATAGGACGTTGTTGGAAGATCGGAGGAAGATTCTTATCGGCTTGCAGTACGTCCCAGTGTCTGTTTATAGTATTTTTTATTTTTGAAGTTGCTGTATGATAAGTCATAGGGAGGAATAATTGCGTCTTCGTGGTTTTAATATTCGTGCTGGATTCAAAACGGTCTCTAGCTCTTTGTTGAGCAATCTCCAG